AACAAAACCAAGAAAATAAATATTTTCATATAATTGCAAGATGAAAACATTTTTAAAAATTATTAAAATCTTACATATATGAGAATCAAATTAAATGTCATTTAATGTTCAACAAGTTGATCATGCTACTTTTAGACATTTAAAATAAATAAAGAGGGGCACCTGTATGGTGTCGGTTAAGTGGCCGACTTTGGCTCAGATCATGATCTCGCAGTTCGTGAGTTCAAGCCCCACGTTGGGCTCTGGGCTGACAGCTGGGAGCCTAAAGCCTGCTTCAGATTCTGTGTCTCCCTCTTGCTCTGCCCTCCCCTGCTCATACTCTGTCTCTCTGTCTCTCAAAAAGAAATATATCTTAAAAAAATTTTAAATAATAGTAAAGAAATATTTTGCATTTTTTAAGTGAGCTGAATAATGCTCAGTTGTGGCTCATTTTTCCTGATCTTTGGGATTATGTTGTTTTCATCAGGTTTCCTCTTTGGTTTTCTGAGTGTTCTCATACCAAGTTAATATATGCAGAGTTCTTCTTACAACAACGCCTGGCATGTGGTAAATGCTCAATGAGGTATCATCATCACTGAAATATTTTGAAATGACTCAAAGAAATTCCATTATGATTCCACTTGTCTGGAGCTTTAAAAACTTTCCAATTTATCTGTGTGTCTTTTTCTTTGACAAAAAACAAAAATAGATATACTTAGAAAATGTGAATTATAAAAACAATAATTTTACAGGAATCAGAATGCTCTGATTTAAGAATCTTTCCCCTTCTCAGGTGGCTTTTGTATTCCTCAGCTTGTGAGTCTGCAGAACACACCATATCCTACTGTGAAGTTTATGAGGCAGGCTTGAAATTAGAAGAAAGGATTTTTCTTCTTGGGTTTGAGACCCACACATCTGAGGCTATAGGCATTTTAGATCCCTTTGGTAGATGGACCAAACAATATACCAATACTATGAGATAAATTCCTTAAACATCATCTACTCTTTCATGTAAATTGCCTATTATTACTGACCAAAAGTCACAGTTTCCATAGAAGTATTTCAGTAGTTCTGGGGTGTTAAAAAAGCTGTAGTAGACATGGTAATAACACCCAAACATTTATAATCTAATGAGGAAGACAATGAAGAGAACCAACGAATGAAAGCATTTCAAAGAAACACCCTATGTCAACCAATTATAGATACAGAAATGAGATTAGGTAATTAGTGACACTAATTCAATACTAAATATTTACTGGATGTTTGTAATAGACCAAAGATTGTTCTAGACACTAAAGATACAGCAATAAGCAAAAAAGAAGTCCCTGCTTTCAATGGAGTTTACATTCTTAAGGGTGGATAGAAAATAAACAAATAGAGGGGTGCCTGGGTGGCTCAGTCAATTGAGCATCTCACTCTTGATTTTGGCTCCCAGGATCATGGCATGGAGCCCCATGTTGGGCTCCTTGCTAAGCGTGGAGCCTGCTTGGGTTTTCTCTTTTTCTCTGCCCCTCCCTCCCACCCCTGAAAGAAAGAAAGAAAGAAAGAAAGAAAGAAAGAAAGAAAGAAAGAAAGAAAGAAAGAAAGAAAATAGATATATAATATGTTAGGGGTAATAAGCAATAGGCGCTGTGAAGAATAAAACCAGGGCACAGGGACAGAAGATCACTAGGGTAGATCAGGGGTAGGGAGGCTGCTATTTCATTGAGAAAGGTCATGGAAGCCCAGATTTCATGCGTATGGTTTGAGTGGAGACATGAAGGAAGCAGGGAGAGAAATGTGCAGAGAATGGGATAAAAGGGTTATAGGCAGAGACAAGGAAAGGCGTAAGACCCAGAGAGGAAATGTGTTGAAGTGTCCGAGGAACAGCCAGGAGGCAAATGTGTTAGAGCCAAGTGAGCAAGGATAGGAATATGAGCTGATGAGGGCAAAGAGGTAATGAGGGCTGGACAGGCCATTACAAGTCCTTTGTGTCTTATTCTGAGCGGGATGAGAGACCACTGGGGAGTTTGGAACCAGCAGAGGCATGCCTTGACTTCCCTCTGAGAAGGATCACAGTACCTGGCTGTTCTGTGCATGACAGACTACAGAAGGGAAAGGAGGATGCAGTGAAACACTAGCTGGAAGATGTTTGCATTAATTCAGCAAAGATATGATGATATCTTGGCCTGGGATGGTAGCAGAGGAGATGGCAAGAAGGGAGGGATTCTGGACATGTGGTGATTTGCTGAACTGGATAAGGGTATGAGAAAAAGAGTCGAGAGGAGTTTAAAAGGATTTCTGCAAAGAAATTGTGAATTGAAGATAAGACTAATAATACATAAATATAAGTGAACAACAGAGAAGTAGTCAAACTGACACTTTTCCTACTCTTATAAAACAGAAATTATCAAGAAAACTATATAAGATAAAGATTTATCCCCCACAGTTGTTAGCAGTGAGCCTCATCCTAAGTAGATACTGTTCCCTGAGCTTTTTAGCAAATGATAAGATGAAGCCATCACAATTAAGAAAACATGCCACCACAATTTTAAAAATAAGCATCACAAGTTTTAGTAACATCAAATTTAAGTAAGAATAAAATTATATTAAAAATAACTTTAAAATATTTTAACAATATTCTTAACAATTTCAGCCTTACCCATGTCCTTTAAAATCTAGTTTTGGTGCATGCTTTGTAATGCGCACACGTGCGTGTGTGTGTGTGTGTGTGTGTGTGTGCGCGCGTGGGCACACACAGGAAGAGAAAATGAACATAATTCATAAATAAAAATTACACAAAATACAGCATTCTCAATTGACAGTAAGAAGTCATTGCTATAAATATGGAGGGTGCTGCAAACTCTGGCAGAAATATAACATAAACAAAAGTTAAAGTCATTGATCTTCGAGTGGGGGGTTATTGGAATTCAAGGTAAAAGGGAGAGGCAGAAGAAGCTGATGGCCGGGATATTAATTCTAATTTGCAGCCGTGTGATGTTTTATATTTTCTAAGGGTTCCACACATAACATCTGATTGCATACTTATGCCAACCCTGTGAAATCCAGTCAGAAAAGGCGTTAGCACTTTTTCATAAGGAGTGAGATACTCCCCAGAGCTCACTCAGATAGCAAATGATGGGGCCTCTGTCTCCACAATCCGTTTCCGGTTAAGACGTTCAATAAGTATATTTGACAAAATAAGTGCTTACTCTTGGCTGAGCGGCATCCAAAAGAGAGGGAGAGTCACAAAGTCACTCCCTGTATTCCCAAGCAACCTTCAGGCTGGGGCTAGGGACATCAAACAGATGCCTGTGAAACAGTTTCCTACATTTACAAAGCAACATGTTTGTAAAAATGAAATAATAAATTTAGTTCATAAAGATTCAAGGAGCAAAAAGTAAAGTTAGATTATTAGTCATAGAGCACAGTAGGGTTAGCAGGTATAATAGGGCTCCTTTGCTGATTAAAGGTTCCCAGCTCAAACTGATGTTAAGTAAAGAAGGAAAGTCACTGGCTGATAGTTCTGCTAACTATGAGCTAGCAGGACATAGATGATGTAGATGATGTCACCAGGAATCCATACCTCTCCATCCCCAACATTGTTTTTCTCTGTCTTAGTTTATTCCCAGACATGCTCTCACCATGTCAGATGGGTAATCTGGCCAGAGCAGCTCCTGGAGAAATCCTACAAACTCAGCGTTCTTTTCACAGTGGAAAAGAAAGCACTTCTTTCTGGATGACACCAGCAAAGCAGGGTTTTGCCTACCTCTGAAGCAATCACTACGGCTAGAAAGGGCTGTGCTGTGATTAGCCAGACCTGGGGGACACACCCAGTCTTGGGTAAGGATGGGGTCAGCCCCACCGGAAAAGCATGGACTGAGTGGGTAGAGGGCTTATTCCCCAGAGGAAAATGGAGGTGTTCCCACTAGGAAGGAAAATGGCTATCAGAAGGGCAAAATAGCAGAAGATCATTACAACAGGAAAGACTCCTGAAAGGAGTAATTTGTTCCAAAATTTGGAGGTAGTAATTGGGTTTGGTTTTAATCTTATGGGATTCTGGGAAAGAGTTGGTATAGGAAATTCATGACATATAAGCATACCCTGCAGAACATTGATTTGAGTTTTTATACTTCACTTTTCCTTTCCTGTAAGTCTTAAGGACACTATTCATGCAGGGGTGTCCTGAGCCGAGACTCATCTCCCTATCATGCCTTTTCTGGTCTCCACCCTTGTGAAGAGGGGTCTTCGTATCCCTGAAGCTCCCAAAGAGAGCTTTTCAGACTCTTTCCCAGCCACTCACTGGCCTTTTATGCTGACTTCTCCCTTTTAAGGCTGCCTTTACTGACCTAATAATAATCTGTTATTAAAGATGCAAGAGACAATCCTCAGACCTCCCCACTCCCACTCCCCTGGGCTCCCCAAGATTGGCTCTGTCCTCCTTTCAGGTTTGCATTTTCTCCTTTCCACAGAGGTTGGCACTTCTCCCTTTAAGAAATTCTCTTCCCTCTATTATGTTTCAACAATTCTTCATCCCATACTCTTATCCCTGCCTTCCACTAATCACATCCACGGGTCCTGCTGACCTTCTGTGACACTTTCAATTTTAGAGAATGGTCACGTGTTGCAAAGTCCTACTCTAGAAGGCAGAATACTCCATTTCCTGCTCATCCAATGGTCTTTATCTCTCCAGGCCTCTTCTCCTGTAACTCTGAAGCAGAGATAAGATTCCCAGAGGGAAGCATTTGCAAAGTGCTCTGAGTGCTTTGATGAAATTGATTAGATAAATGGAAACATAGTTTTTTGCAACTGCTCTAGCCTGTAAGAAAAATAAGTTATGTAAATGCAATGACTTGCCACTTGACAAATGATGAAGGTCTTTTGTAATTTTTAATATTATTTCACAAGAGTTTTTTCCCAGCAATAAAGAAAAATCAGGATGACTGATTTCAAATGTTTAAAAAATAAATACTGCTTGATATCTTTAAAGCAGTACTTTCATTATCAATGATTGAATTAACATTTTGTTTAATTTGTTCTAGCTTCTCTTCTGAAGGGTTTGAAACATGCCAATATTGTGCTCCTGCACGACATCATCCATACCAAAGAGACACTGACATTTGTTTTTGAATACATGGTGAGTTGGCCCAGCATTTTATAAAGCATGAGGGAAAAGCCTGGTGCTTGTACAATGAATCTGTTAATATTTTATGGCGTGATAAAACTTTCATTACAATGTGGAAAGTGTCATGGAAATTTTCATTATTATGATTACTAGAGCCTATTGTTCTTACACTCCTTCTTTAGTCCTGCTTCTTTACCCACTGTATTTGCTGTCTTTTCCCCCCTTACCGAAAATAATAAATAAGCACTTTGAGTTTGCCTCCTCAATAAAACTTTCGTACTTATTTTTTATCTATTTTTAATGACCATCTGAGCAGAACCCAACATTTTTTCATTGACAATAAAGACATAAATCACAAGGTTTTAAAAAATTGTATACAAGCTTACTAAATAATAACTCATTTTCATATTTTGGAAAGGAAAAAACCATTCAAATATTAGCGGAAATAAATCATAGGGCATATATACTTGACTTGCCTCCAAGGAGAGTGAGAATGCCTGCACCACCGTGTTCAGTGGCTGTCATTTAAAATGAGCATCTTTTTGTGATGAGAAACAAGCTTCCTTGTAAGAAGTCATTTAGAAAGATACACTGTGTTTGACCTTAACAGTGAGGTCTTGGGAAACCTGGTTATGTATCTTTTGTACTGTAGTCTAAAAAATTCTGAAGTTTGTAATACCTCTGACAGTCGATCTATGGTCTACTTTAGGACACTGTTCAAGCTCCACTGACATCACTCTCTCCTTCCCCATTTTGTGTAGCACACAGACCTGGCCCAGTACATGTCTCAGCACCCAGGAGGGCTTCATCCTCACAATGTCAGGGTGAGTACTTTGAGGATCAGGACTCAGCAGAAGAATTTTGAAACAGACTGTCATCACAAAGCAGAGACTCATGATACTAAGTAAGAAGATGCATATCATTGATATTCTAGAGAAAAGTTTTTTTTTAAGAGTTGACCCTCAAGATATAGAGGGGTTATAAATAGCTATAGCTATTTTCCAGGCAGCCTAAACTTGTTAGTCATTGCCATCATGCAAATGTGTCTTTAAAAGTATAAACCAGTGAGCAAGAATTGCATTAAAAGGAAAAAAGTGAAGCTATGACATTATAAAATATTTTATTCATGGCAGACTACTGTGGTTTGTGATAAAATTTGTGTTGTACTTATATTTTCCCAATAGAATCAGAAAATAAACTACCTTTGTTGGCCTAATTTGGTTATCAGTTTGCTTTTTCTATCAGATCCTAATATAAATGGGACCAAGTTCCATTTTCTAGTCATGAGAATAGAAATAATAATAAACTCTTAACTAGCTGTAATTCTCTGTCTGATATAAATTTTAGAAACCATTTTTATTTCATACTTTTCATTTCCTAAGGTTTTTATTGCATTAAATAATTGATTGGTCCTTGATATAACACGTATGAAATTCATATATGATATATTCATATTCATTCATTTAACTAATATTTATATTCCTTCCTTCCTTCATTCATTCAAGAATGATTGAGTACTTCGTATTATATTAAGCTCTGAGGCTTCAATAATGAATAAGTTGTGCTTCTTACTTTCAATAATTTTCAAACTCAGTATGATATATGGGCTTCAATAGCTAATAAGAAGCAAAGTGATAAGGGCTATGGCCATGTTAACTAGAAATGCTTTGAGAATTGATAGTAAGGGAACTTCATTGAGTCCTAGAAACAAGGGGGAAAATATTTGAGGACAGGGAGTTGAGGAGAGTAAAAACATTTTAAGGTAGCTAGTGGAGAATGGAATAGAGACCTAATTAGGCAAAAAGAAGGAGTGTCTAGTAGTGTTTTGAAGATTCCGATGAAAATGAAAACCATTAAATCATCTGCATTATCATAGGATTTCTTTTTTAATGGCAGTGCTTAGCAATTCAAGTAGAAGAATGTAAAGAGTAGACTGTTAGATTGATTCAGAGTTGGGGTTTTGCCAGACATGTGAAAGAAAAAGACAGCTGGGCAAGAGAGTTGAGGAGACTGTCAAGAGAGAGGTTACAGTGATGGTCAGAGACTTCTAAATGGGAGTCTAATCTGAGGGAAGGAAGTGAAGATAGGCAGGTTGCTGATAGCTAGGGACAGAGCAGAAGAGTCAACGAACTAGAGATGTCGATTAGATAGAGGAAGGCTTAGAGAAAGAATAACTGTGAGAAAAATAGAATATTTCCAGGCTTGAGTGACTCTCATACCAGACACTGTGCTAAATGCTTAGGAGGATAAAAAGTGATATAAGACATGAGCCCTACCCTCAGGGGCCTTACAACCAAAAACAAGAGATAAGAAGTATGCACAAATACTATTACAGGACATCTGTGAATAACACCGAGTGAGAAATAAGACCTCTTGTAGATGTAAAAAAAAGTAAAAGATATCTTCTCATTTTAAGAGCTTTTATTAAGGCAGGCATTAAAAGATACATTGCATTTCAAGAGACTGGAATAGGGGAAGATGTCACTGGAGGAAGGAATGTTTTCAGCAAAGGTACAGAGCAGAGAAGTAGAGGATGTGTTCAAGATAGAGGATCCCAGAGTCATGGACTGTTAGGGTTAAAGGAACCACACTGTTTTTTAGTCTTCATGTTTTGACCTATTAGTGGGTTATGAAATCAATTTGGTGATTAACACTAGCATTTTAAAAAATGAAATGGATTAGATGAGAAAAGAATAAAAAATATTAGGGTTTGTAACACCTAGTAAGAATAAGTATTATTTTGTACAACTTTTGTTCCAGTTGAAACTGTACTTATATCTATGTATGAATGTGAGTACTGGCTACAGGTGTATTTCTTATGGTAAGTTGCAGCAGGAAAAAAAAAAAATCCTTAAAAACCCTGGGCTGGCCTAACTTTCTTAATTTGCAGAATTGGAATCTTGGAATCCAAGGTTTGAGAAGACAAATATTTTGCCGGAAGTTACAGAACCAGTTTTTGCCATTGCTAAAAATGATTCTTGGTTAAGATTCTTTTCCACTAGTGCCAGTACTGCATTTCTGGTCCTGTTGGCCCAAAATAGAGACTATATTACTGAAATGAGGGTATGTAAGTCTTGGAAAATAGATTGGGTAGATGGTTGAGAGCCTTATTTTCTAAGATGTGGACTATATTTCTTAGACAGTAGAGTCATTGAAGGGGTTTGCATTGAGAGAGAATGACATGATCAGAAGGAAATTTATGTAACTGTGGTCTGTGGGATGGCTTAAAGAGTAGGGGATTCCATTAGGAGTTTACTGATGTGGGCTGGCCCAGTGCTTCTCAAACTTCAATGAGCAGATGAAGGACCCGGGCATCTGATTCAGGAAGTCTAGAGTAAAGGCCTCAGCTTCTGGGTTTCTAACATAATCTCCTTGATTGACCAGAAGAATTATAGCTCTATTAACAGAAATAGAAGAAGTTGATTTGAAGAAGAGGAGAAGGAGTCCTGTTTTAGACATAGTGAGTTTCTAGTTGAGGTGGAAATCCAAAGGGAAATGAGCAGCAGACAATCGGAGAGGAGATTGGTGTCCAGGAGGAAGATATACACTGGAGATGTAGACTTGAGGGTAACTGGAACATGTAGTTTGTAGTTAAAGATAAGAGAGTAGACAACCTAAAGAGAAAATACATAAAGCTTAAAGAACTGATTATAGAACTTTTGCCTTTAGAGGTTGAAAGAGGAACAGGAGAGCAAGAGAAAAGAAAGAAGCTTTTAGGAATGTGGAGGATCCAGAAAAATACAGTCTCATGGAAATCAAAGGAAGAGACAATTTCAGGGAAGGCATGGTTGAGAGTGTCACTAATACCAAGAATACAGTTGAAAACCATACTTGACTATTTTGTGGATTTGTGAGGGATACACTAATAAATAGAGGAGTTTTTTAGGGGTATGTAGAAGCACAAAGAAAGTTTTCCATTCAAAGCAAGTAGGAGTAAGGATGAATTTTCCATAGCAATGGCAGCAGTGAAAATGCCTAGATAGCACTAGCCCAATGAAATTATCTTGTCCCCAAGAGTCTCACTGTTTTGGAAACAGGACTAACCCCTGGGGTATGAGAAGTCTTTCTGGAAAGAATCACCCATGATCTGGCTTGATGTTGACTAAGAAAACACCATCAGATTGAGTTCTGTTAATGGTGCTTTGGTGATGTGAAAGAAGAATCTAGGTTGCAAAGGATTCAAGAGTGAGTGGATGGTGAGGTTAGTCAGGGCATACATTAATACTGCAGTGCTTTACCATTTACGAATGCTTGTGAACATATAGGTGGAGCGAGGGAGGAAAGGGATTGAAGAGCAAGAAGGTGGGAGGCAGGTGTGACTAATTAGTGAGAGCAGGCTGTACTCCAACATGAAAGGCATTTCAGGCTGGCCCACTAAGAAATTCTGTCTCTGACTCAGCCAGCTGACTCTTCCTTTCCGTGTCAGGTTTTAGTTTTCTTTAGTTTCTCTGAATGGTGTATGGAGTTAGGCAGGTCTGAGTTTGAGTTTTGGCCCTGACTGTTTCTAGACATGTTTTTAAAGTATTCTTGAGCCCTATTTTTCTTATCTGTAAATTGAGGACAGGAGTTATCTCCCTCACGGGGTTACTTTGAGGATTATGAGAGGTGCTAGGCATACAATAAATGTTGTTTTCCCCTTCCTCCCTTCAGTCCCTCTCCCTCCATTGTCTGTTGCTCCCTCTTTCTTCAGTATTTCCACATTGAAAAGCACTGGGAAAACTCATAGACCAGTGAACATTTGAAGTAGGAGTGTCAAGAAATTTTTAACATTCTTAAATGACTCATGAGCCTGACGTAGGACTTGCACGGAGCTACACAGACACAGCTGTGACATGGTGGGCAAACCCCCCAGGCCTCTTCCCCGGTTGGACCGAGCTGCCCCTCAGCTTGGCTCCAATGTTTCCTAGTCATTGTTAGGTCAGTACAGGTCCCAGCATCTCTGAAGTTCCCAGTTTCCAGGATGTGATGGAAAAAGTGGATATATCTGCACAGCTCTGCATCTGCTATTTTGCCTGTGTCTCCAGGAATGCTGGGGCTGGGCTTTCTTTTCTAAACTGCCAGAACACGTTCTCAGTTGGCATAGGTCTTTGTAAACAACTAATGTCGGTGTTTCAATTCTCAATTGCCAGTGGTACTAGAAAAGAGCAAAAGACATTGGAATCCTAAGCATTCTTTTTTTCCTTAAGCTTCTACATTGGTGGGAACCTAATAATGTCTTTGGTTTCTATGCCTTATAACCACATGCAACATTTAAAATTTTGAGCCCAGAATGTATTTTTCCCTCCTATTTCTTCTACTATTTATTCCTTATGCTTTTTTTTTTTTTCGGTCTAATTTTTTTTTTTTGGTCTCTCTTCTCTTTAATCAAATGGCTGCACTATAGCTTATTTTTAGCTTTGAACTTCAGACTTTAAAAATAGGTTTAAAAAAGTAATGGTTCCTTTATTTCCTAATACCATCTAAAGATATATTTCTCAGTCTGGTCTCCTTGTGTTATGTTTTTAAAAGGGCTTCATATCAGAGAGCCTGGAAAACTTAAGCAGTTGTAAACCTTAGAATATCATTTCCAGGTCAACTTTGATCTTATATGCCAAGTTCATTGGTGGGGAAAAAAATTAAATCTTTCACATCTAAATCAATAACTAGTTCCAAAGGAAACTTCAAAGTTTCCCTTTAGATTTTTAAGGAAGGGTAATTCCTCCAGTATCAAAGAAATGAGATGTCAGGAAAAGGCAGAATCCCTTTGTTTAGGACATGGTCTACTTATTTGACTTTCTTTGTCTTTTTTTTCCCCTCTCTGAATGTAAAATCTTCTTTTTTTTTTTTTTTTTGGTCTCTCAAGGGACACTTTTACTATATTCTTTCAGACGACTGTTTTTGATTTAGAGGAGAAATCAACACATAGTGGCTCAAATCTGCTTAGATAAGGTGTTCATTCCTTCCAGCTTTTCATGTTTCAACTTTTGCGGGGCCTGGCATACATCCACCACCAACACGTTCTTCACAGGGACCTGAAACCTCAGAACTTACTCATCAGTCACCTGGGAGAGCTCAAACTGGCTGATTTTGGTAAGTCTCCCCTTGAGTCTCTTTCTGGGCTATGAACAATGATGCTTTTGTGTGCACGTGTTTAAAGCATTGACGAGGCCTGGGCTTTGAAAAGTGGAGGCAAATGGAACGTGGTGCTTTGTGAGGATGTCAAACTACCATATAGGAAGTGTGAGGCAAGAAACAAGGCAAGATTGGTAGCTTCTTAGGATTCCATCAAGCCTCAGTCTATCAGATCATAAAACTTGGGCACCACTACTGCCCCATGGCCATTTTTTATAGAGAGACATTCGCGTACAGAGTGAACTGTACCTAGTAGGTTTTCCTACATCTGAATGGATATAAAAATTCAGAATCGATCAAGGTTATCCCATGATGACAGGATAAAGAGGTAAACCCCAGATTTTAGGATGCACTCCTATTGATATAGAGGCTCCAGGACACTTGTTCTGGTCACCTACATATAGAGCTGTATTGCATGAGTACCTGAGGTTTTTATTCCTATTAAAGTGACACAGATTTCCCTGGAGCATCGCTGTATCTTTCCACTTTAGCACTTATTGCAGTTTATAATGATATGCACACATATATTTGTGTAATGACTTTGTCTCCTCTGATAGACTGTAAGCATTATGAAGACAGCCGGAGTCTATTTTGCTCATCATCACATCCCTAATGCCTGACACCACAGCAGACACTCAATAAATATTTGTTAAAAAACTAGAGCTGAGAAACCACTCTTCCCTGTTTGGAAGATATCAGATGACTATTGTACTTTATTCTGATATATTAGTTGTCATCCGGACATGTAAGCATTTGGCATATATTCAGTTATGAATTCCCCACAACAGAGAACTCATCTGTTGATGTTTTTTCCAAGCTGTTCATCATGTGATTCTGCAAGATAAGTAGCTGACTAACAAAAGTACATTTATATTCCAGAGGAGAACTTGGGAGTGATGTGTTCAAGGTCCTACCAAGCTAATTAGTTTGGATTAGCAGTCCCCACCTTGTATGTACTAAACATGGAAGGCAACCACATTAATTGTGAATTGAGTTCTGTTGCTGTTACAGAGACCCCAAATTACAGAGGCGTAAACATGCTATAAGCTTAACTTTCTCTCATGTGACAGTCTGACCTAAGTAGTCAGAGCTTGTATGGTGGCCCCACAGTGTCTCGACCCATGTTCCTCTGTCACGTGGTCCTACCATCCTTAAGGTATTGCCCCAACTACATATATAAGATGGCTACCACCTCATTCTCATTGTAGCCGAGAGGAAGAAGAAAAGGGAAGAAGGCTTAACCCCTCCAAAAGGGCATGATCTGAAAGTTCACACATCACTTCTGTTTATAGTGTATAGGCAAGAGTTTAGTCACCTTACTATACTTAGCTGCCAGGAAGGCCACATCTAGCTGCAAAGTAGGCCAAAATTTGAGGCCTCTTCACTTGATGAAGAGGTACGCAAGCGTCAAGATAATGGAGTAACTATTAAAAGCATCCAAATTTTGTGTATTTTTTTTTTTAACATTGCTTATTCTGCCAGTTATTAACTCCTTGGTAGCATGCATCTCTTCCTGACTCTCCAGAAAGTCATAGGACAGTGAGTTCTGTGCTTTTTCTCTTTGGCCAGGTCTTGCTCGGGCAAAGTCTATTCCCAGCCAGACATACTCTTCAGAAGTTGTGACCCTCTGGTATCGCCCTCCTGATGCCTTGCTGGGAGCCACTGAATATTCCTCTGAACTGGACATATGGTAAGAACTAGTGTCAAGGAAGTGAAGAAAATGTGGGTTGTTTTACCCATGAGAATTGCTTTATCATCTGTATTGCATTTCAAGTAATAATGTTAATAATGACAATCACATTTATATACAGAAACATAAAGTACTTTCAAATACATATCTCATTTGATTTTTGCAATCATTCTGTAAGTTTTTATAGTTAAAGAAACTGAAACTCAGAGAGATCGTGCCCAAGGCATATTCTCAATCAGATGCCTCTCCTCCTAGTTCTTCTCTTCAGTCCTTTGTTTCCTCCCCGCCCCTTGTCCTCAGAGAAACACACACGCACTCCCCAACCACACACACACACACATACACACATCTACACACTAATGCTCACACATGCCCAAGCACAATTCAGAGCTTAGAGAAAAAGGCACACAGACCATGATTGAGTAGACCCAATTTTCACACAAGTTCTATTAATTATTCTGAATTATGTTATCTTGAAAATTCAAGTATCTTCTTTGTGTCTATGTTTCTCCATTTTTAAAATGAAGATAATAAACTCTCCCCATGAGGGGTTAAATGGGGCTATAGTGTAAGTATAAGAATCAGATAAGCATTTCCAAACAGAACCACATCACCGGGGAGGCTCTTCGATTAATGGGGTGCAATAGTGTGGGATCACTCATCATCCTACAATAGCAGTGTTACATTATCAGATCTTATTTCTGTTAATATCGCAGTCATCCAGGGGCCACAGTTAAATGTGTGGTAACTTTGCAATCATAGCCACCCCCTCAAAGTTAACAAAATGTATAGACATCCTTTAGTTCCTTAGGAGGTCTTCTATAAACAAAAAGCCTCGTTTTTAAAAAATCAATAATGGGTTTTTAAAAAATTAAACAGTATTCTGAAACGCTAAACTAAGCTTTTGGATTTCCCAAAGAATTGAGAAAGGTTGCAGAAATATCCCTCCAATGTCTCTAGAGTCATTGATTTCCCAATACCCAGTACCATTTCTAGAAATATCACCAGGTAGTCAAAATCCTCCTGAAACTGTCAGCTCTCACTGCTCTGCACTGTCACTTCAAAGGCCTGTGCAGGCTCTGGCTTTCTCGGCGCTTAATGATTACTTCTTAGTTGTGCTTCACAGACAGACTGAAACTTCTACTCATCACTTCTAAACTTTGTTTTATTATGGAACATTTAAAACATTCAGAAAATGTATCATATATATATACCAGTGATTCTCGACCAGGGCCAATTTTGCTCCCCGGGGACATCGGACAATGTCTGGAGATATTTTTTACTGTCACAGCTGGGAAGCAGGTGCTACAGGCATCTAGTGGGTAGAGGCCTGGGATGCTACTAAATATCACAACAAAAATTTATCCAGTCCCAAATGTCAACAGTGTCAAGATTGAGGAAACTGATGTAGATTAAGAAGTATAATAAAGTGAATTTCATGAACCTGCTATTCAGTGTAACAACTAGAACATACTGCCACATTTACCTGTACCCCCTCTCCCATCAACCTGCCCCTCCATCAGATGGGCTCCTAACCTGAAGTTTTTTCTTGTCGCCATTCCCTTACCCCTTTCAAAAATAATATTTTGCATTTTTGATGTGTTCTAAAAATACTGTTTTGCTTTACTTGTGTGTGAGTTTTGTAAAAATGGTATTATATTGTTTTTTTAATGTTTATTTTTGAGAGAGAGAGAGAGCATGTGCGAGTGGGAGGAGAAGGGTGAGGGGCGGGGGGTAGAGAATCCCAAGCAGGCTCCACACTGTCAGTGCAAAGAGCCCAGTATTATATTGTTTTTAGCCTTCTGTGACTTGCTTTTTTCCACCAAGGTGTTTCTAACATTCATACATGTTGATCTATGTAGCTATGCTTTATTTCCTGTTGATAAACATTTCATTTATTTAGTTTGGGTTTTTGTGTGTGTGTTTTGTTTGCTTTTGCTGTTATGAATATACTTGTTATTTATATTTAAGGATTTCTCTAGAGTACTTAATAGATTTCCTGTCTCATAGTGTACATGAATGTTCAACTCCCTGAAGTAGTGCCGAATTATTTTCCAAAGTAGTTCTAACAATTTATATACCAGCAGTGTATTATAGCCCTTTATCTACATCTGCACCAACTTTATAATCAAGTAGAGTGGTATGTTGTGATCTAAATTTGCATTTTCCTAATTACTAATGAGGATGGATACCTTTTCATGGATTATTTGTGTTTCTCATCTATGAAATACCTACTTGTGACTTTTGCTTATTTTCTTTTGGTCTCTCTGTTTCTGTCCCCCACTGTCCTTCCCTCCCTCCCTCTCGTTCGTTCATTCTTTCTTTCCTTCTTTCTTTCTGTTCTTCTAATCTGAATATTAATCTTTTATCAGTCATGAGTGTTGCAAGAATTCCCATGAAAACATGGCTTATGTTTTCATATCCTTATGTTGTCTTTTTGAATAAAAGTTCTTAATTTTAATATTGTTGATCTTATCAGTCTTCTTTTTTTGGCTGGCCCTTTTGTTTCTTGTTTAAAAAAAAAAAATCATTCTCTCCTTGAGGTCAGAATGATATTTTCCAATACATTCTTTAAAAAATTGCTGGGATGCTAGGTGGCTCAGTCAGTTAAACATCCAACTCTTGGTTTCAGCTTGGGTCATTATTTCACAGTTGATGAGTTTGAGCCCCATGGCAGGCTCTGTGCTAATACCGCAGAGCCTGCTTGGGATTCTCTCTCTCTCCCTGTCTCTCTGCCCCTCCCTGTGTGCACTCTTTCATTCTTTTTCTCTCTCAAAATATTAAAAATAAATTTAAAAGTTATAAAGCTTGTCCTTTCATTTTAAATCTTTCATATATTAGAAATTGACTCTTGTCTATGCCAATCAATTGTCTCATCCCATTTTCTTCTGTGATCTGCCATGCCAAATCTCTCATATATCAAGTTTCCATGAATACAGAAGTCTACATCTGGGCTCTCTTTTCTGTTTCACTGAGGTCACTTTCTCTGTCCTGGTACCAATGTCCTACTGTATTAATTTCTATAGCTTTACAATATTCGATATCTGGTAGGACAAGTGTCCCTACCTATTTCATCTTCCTCACGAATGTCTTAGCTATTTTTCCCCTTTGATTTTTCATATACATTTTAGATTACTGGTTCAAATTTCATGAAAAATCCTGGTGGGATTTTCACTGGGATTGCACTGAAATTATAAAACTCTCTGAGACTAATTAACACCGTTGTGATATTGTTTTCCAATTTTTAAACGTGGTATATTTCTTCACCTGTTTGGCTTGTCTTTAATGTCTTTTAGTGGTTTTATTATTTTTTCTCTAAGCTCTTACATATCCAGGGCAAAGGTCCTTAAGTCTATTTCTATTGTCTATTATTTCTTTTGGTTCTTGCATATAGTATCTTTTTCCCATGCATATTTAGTTGTTTTTGACAGCGATATGCTAGCTTACCTTGGAATTTCATTTGTGGGATTTTTTTTTTTTTGAGGACTTGAATAAAGTAGGTTTCTTCAGAGAAGATTTGCATTTAATTCTGCTAGGTGCATTATTTTTAAAGAAATTAATTTTTGTATTTTATATAAGTATTGGTCTGCCACACAGATCTTGATTTTCTGATACCATTCCCTACTAAAAAGAACTAAGACTTTTTGGAGAAATGGCCAATTCTAAGTCTGGGGCATGGAAAGTATAAGATGAGCCAGGAATATCTTGTTGTGCCAGAACATTTTTTTACAAAGTGGTCAAAAAATGAGGGGATTATGTCAAAAGGATAGGGGGAGTAATTTGAAGAAATACCCACTAGCTAAAGATGTACAATTTGAGTAGAATTTGATTTATAACCAAAGCAAGTGATGTAGGTAACAGATTATAGGCCACTGAATAAGAATGCATAAGTGCATACCAAAGATAACTAGCTAGCTTGATAAGAAAGGAAGCATCTCCTTATAGTAGAATGCCAACTAATAACTGGAGAAGAAATGATGGGCTTAGAAAATCACTATTTTGCAATATGGTAGTGATTGGTTCAAACAAGAATTAACAATGCTAAACTAGAACAGAAAGTTTGATGAAAAATAAAAAATTTTCATAGTCTCAAAGTACATCTCCACAAATTACTTACTAGTTACAAAGGAAAAAATAGTAACTTTATAGGGGAAAAAAACCCAACTTGGCAGATACCACTTTCACCAAGTGATTAGAGTTAATATTATCAATAATGGCACTGACTGACACCATGGGCCTCCATGAGGCCCTGAGATGCACTGAGAAGGATACAATATCACTTATGCGGCTTTCCAGCAAAAAAAAAAAAAATCTCAACCTGAATCAAACAATGAGGAAACATCAGATAAACTCCATTTGAGGGACATTTGGCAACATAAGTGGCCTGTACTCTTTTAAAGGGTTGTAGGAGAGGGAAAATTTTCCTCTGTCCTCTTAGAGTCTGTGGATGAACCTGCAAATTGACAGCAGATTAATGGGAGACAAGCATATAAATTTTATTTGATGTTAAAAGTTTTATGTGGCATGGGGGAGGGGGCTCTATGGAAAGAAGAGAAAACACCCAAAGAAGCAGCTAGGCTTGGAGGCTTTTATACCATTCTGACAAAGAATGATAAATTTGTAGGGAAGTGATAAGACAAAAGAAAGGGGTTTCTGGACTCTTTAGGGGCAGTAAATTGTGGGATAAAATCCTCATAAGGGGAATTTATGCCCCACTTTCAGGCAGATACAGGGAGGCAGAAAGCTCATCCTATGTTTGCTTTTACTCAGTTGCCTTCAGCTCAATATTTCTTTATACCAGAGTGGCATATTTTGGGGTGGCATTTTTTTTTAATGTTTTTATTTATTTCTGAGAGAGAGAGAGAGAGAGACAGTGTGAGCAGGAGAGGGTCAGAGAGAGAGAGACACAGAATCCATAGCAGGCTCCAGGCTCTGAGCTAGCTGTCAGCACAGAGCCCAACATGGGGCTTGAACCCATGAACCTTGAGATCATGACCTGA